CCCCCCCCCCCCCCTCTCCTCCCCCAAGAAACCCACCCATTATGCATTCTACTAACTCAAGTTTACATCATTTTTTTCACCCAAATTCTTTCCCAGTTATTATTTGTTATTTGTGGTCGACCATAGCTCCTATATAGCTAGATGCATCGCAGTCTGTATTGTTTAGCGTGAGCCCTCTAGCCCGAGCCTTGTTGTGAGCCAATGAACGACTTCTTCCATTTCTTTGGGAACAGTGTAGTGACCAAGTCTACACATTAGTATAAACCCATAACTCTTTACAAGTATGTTCAAACAAATGACAAATTAAATTATTTCTGCAACTCCTATATTATGTGAATACCCTTCATATGGCTTAAAGATAGCTTGTCGAAATCCAGCCATGCTAAGAGACTGCGCAGATTTCTCTCCAAACCTATAAGGAACCACATCATCGGCTGTGACATGAAACAGGCAGTCATTAGTTAAAGCAAAAATGAGTACATGTTGATTACAAAATGACTTTATCTTACACATACCAGTTCCATGTGTAAGTATGATTGGTAATGATGTAGCACGCCTTGCAGCGTCATATGAACATTCTATTTTGCTCCTTAAGTTCCTACAAAGTTAAGTTCAGGCTTCTCTCAGTATGGAAAAAGAACTATATGTACATTAAGTTAAAACAAAAGAAAGTTCACACAACAAGAGGGCTTGAAGCATAGTTACTTCCAACTAGGAAGCCAGCCGCTGAGCCCTACAACAGCTCGTAGGTTTATAGGGTAAGTGTGGCCACTTCCATAACGTCCAAGAGCATAACAAGTGGCAGAGTAAAGAGATATCGCTGCTCCCATGCTAAAACCACCTATCCCCACTTTAACTATAAAACCAGAAAGATAAATTTAAAGGTATCGATGGTTGGTATTTTATAATCTAAAAAGTAGGTTATATCTCTTGGTTACCATCTGGCGGTTCAGAGGACAAAAGGTTTGCAATATGTGAAGCTGAAGCATCTAACCCTTCCATATCATCATGACTGTCTTCAGAAATTTCCCCAACATCAAACCCTAATTAATGTACAACCATTTACTAAGTTTGCAATTCAAGTATCACATTTAGAAACATAAAAAGATGTTACTGAAGATTTCAAGCGAAATACATCAAAAAGAAAGCCAAATTATCATACAAGCAGTGCAGGTATATCCACCAAGACTTGAAACAGGACGCGTAGGAGCAGTCGGGCAAATCCATTTTATCTGTAAATAGCAGCATATAACTCTTTCTCAAAAACTTCAGTACAAAAAGAACTCAAAGTGGTTTTGGAGAAGATGGATTCTTACATTTGGAAGATGCAAGCTTTCCATGAGCTGAGATGAGCTGCAGAGAAAACAGAGACAAAGGTAAGAAACGCATGTACGTTTCAATAGATTTTTGTTTAGATTAATATACAAAACATGGAACAGCAATATAACATCGAATAGTATTTTCATACGCGACAAGAAAATTGTCGTGTTAATATTTTATCAGCAATATAACTTAAGTCATCAAGTGGTCCACCCAGAGCCGTGAAATAAGGTATATACTACCCTTTTCTTACAAGCTTAAGTGAACTAAAACTCAATATTCCTATTAGAGAAGACATTTGAGAGGATTGGGTGTAAAATCTATTAGTTCTTTGCGGCGCCACAACAATTTTTTTGGGCAAACGGCGCCACAACATGATATACAAATAAATATTCAGGAAACCAGTAAAAAAAAGGGGGGAAAAAAAAAAGAAAAAGCACACACAAATTTTGTAGTTGAAATTTTTATTAGAGAACATGCCAAAATTCTACTTTAACAAAACTTTTTTCGTCCATTTAAATACGCCCAAAAGTTGAAGCTTTTTGCAAGACATTAAAACTTCAGAAACAAGAGAATTCATCAAGCATGAGTTTAGGCTTCAAGAATTGCTTGGAGCCTGTCAGAAAAATATCATAATAATACATGTGAAAAGTGTTACCTAGAGCCATTGTCACCAAGACCATGAAGCCATACTAGAGTGGCTTGATGCTTTCCTTTAGGCCTCACAACATACGTCCTTCCAAATTCATATCCTCTTGCATTTCTACTACCTTCAAGGAATTTTACAAATACATAGTCAACAACCACTTTCAAGCAGATAATTTTGTTTCGTTCTTTGAGATAACCCGAGAATTCTCAGTCCGGTATCCAAAATAGAGAGAAACTTGATCATACGAAGCATCACTAAAATTTCAAGAAATCATATAACATAAACAATGATAAGAAGGGAGAAAACAAACCAGAACCCATGCTTTGATGAGAATAACTCATTGTTGCTGAAAGATTGTAGTTTTTCTTTTGAAAGCCTTCAAGGTTCAAAGACAAATAAACAACAACTGATGATAAACAAATGAGAAGGCGATGTGTATATATAAACAAACTAAAGGGATGATGTCGAAATGTGGAATAAAAGAAAAGAGGTGAATCTGAATCATTCACTAGGGATGCTCAATGTGCACAACAGCTAACCAAAACTACTAGAAAGGGAATGGAAGGACATAGCTATAGAGGATGCGTCCCTTGAAAAGGAGGGTATAAAAAGATAATCAAATAGTAAAAAAAATAACAAATATTTTTCTTAATACAACAAGAAATATATATATTTTGGGGAGCATAAGGAATTATAATTCTCTTAAAAAAACAAAGGAGAGAGCTACTGGTTTCAACACACAGGCAAGATAGACAGAGAATCAATGCCTTGATGGAGTGGTGGAGGAAAAAAATAAAGAAGAAAGAAAAACAAACGAACTTTTCTTCCTAGAGGAATATTAATTCTATATATAGCAAAATGTATATTTACTTGAAACATTAAGGCATAATCCAAAAATGAAAAAGAAGACAAATCTCATTCTTCACTCATTTATTTTATGAAAATTGAGGTGATCGATGGATACCCATTAACTAGAAACCTTGCCAGAAAATTCAGAAAAGAAAAAAGTTCGGAGATTTTGATTGCAATTAAGGGTTTTGTTTTATCTAAGAGTACTTTAATTTATAAAAAGATGATGTATTATTGTAATGATTACAAGTATGGAAAAAACATAAGAGACCAACCTGGATTTTCAGGTGGGGTGAACAAGATATTGATGAAAAAGACACAAATCTTTTTCATCAATTTCAACGCATTGATCATTGCTGTGTTCTGTTTGCCATTGTTAATGGTTATTGCCCAGTGCCCACCATTAGATTCAGATCTTCTGAGTTTCCTGTAAGAGTGAGTGAGAACTGAGGAGCCCATTTCTCCCAAATTTTCAGTTGAGTTTGAAAATAACATTATCGTCCAACTCTTTATGAATTTGTTTATTATGATCAACAAATATTTAAGTTCTTCGTATGATTAAATATTTCAGGTGAAATGGATTGCTTTAGTCTAGAGGTACATATGTCATATGTGTTAAATTCATTTCCACCGGAATCCAGTTTCTGAACAATGCCATTTTCTTATAGGTTATGGACAAATCTTGTTCTATGGATTTTTCACCATGCCATACATAAAGCTTTCTTACATGATGTCATGTACTACACCTCTTATATATTAACTGAAGACCATTACAATATTGACTGTAGCCAGGTATCATCATCAGGATGAATCATTAGAAAAATAAATTGGTATAATTAAACATACATTATCTTTTTTATTAAAATAACTATTACATTGATTAGTAGTATACAAAAAAAAATATTTTTCTTTTTTCCTTAAATAAAAACTATAAAATTATTTAATATGATTAATAGATATATAATAAATGATTTTGAATAATAAAAGATTTGATAATAATTTATATACCCTTCATCATTTTTATTTAATTTTATATTATTAAAAAAACTATAGAATCTCATTAATCATATAATAAAAATAAATTTAGATTTTTTATATGTTATATTTTAAAAATTATTATAAATTGCTACAAATGTTAAGAGTCTCACATTAAAAATATTAGTGACCAATGGCCTAACTTTTTTTGTTATAACAAGATACAAATGATCATAAATTATATGAATATAAAGTTTCATTTAATAGATAGTCAGATTATATATATATATATATATATGTATATTTGTTTTGAAAAATATCATATAAATTAAACTATATACTATATAAAATACATAAATATTTAATTTTGTAATTTTTATTGAAAAAGTATTGAGATCTTAATATTGTATTTTTTCAATTTGCCTTGAATTTTAAAAAAATGATTATAAATTAATGAAATTATTAAAAATCTCACATTAAAATTTTGTGATTAATTGTTAATTTTTGGTACAAAATATACATATTTTAATAAAATTATATGAGTAGGAAACTTTAATCATATTATATTATAAAATATATATATATATATGTGTCAGTATCATTTAAACTTAATTATATAACATATAAAATAAATAAAGAAATGTGTTAATTTTTTTATTTATTGTAAATAAATAAAAGAGATTATTTTTATTTATGTGTGTACTCCAATTTAATTATATAACTAATAGTTACTCGATTTTCAATTATATAATATACTGATTATTACATAATACATAAAATAACAGCAAATAAATAAGAATATGTAAAAGTAGTTTGTATGTTTTTATTTCACTCAAGACGCGAATCTTCAACTAATATAAAATATATCATAATCAGCGTCTTACCATAGATCGACGTATTATATAGGGAATAATACTGTGATCGCTTCTAATTTCAACCATCACACTGCAAAACTTCAGGTCATAACTTAGTTTGGTGCGGAGAATGCTGGTAATAAAATTATTGAGAGGATAGAATGTGATGTACATAGTTAAATTAGTTTTTCTATATATTAACAGTCGTCTATGATAATAGTTGACAAGCAAAAATCATCAAACCAATGAGGAAAATTTTGATTTATTTTCTTTACATAATTTTGCTGAACTGATTGTAAAATTTATTTAATCCAAAACATTTTTTGCGCTAGTTGTGTTTTTTCTAATGACTGAAAATTTATTAATAATTACTTAATTACTAATTTTTAGATTTAGGAAAGTATATGACAAAACATTGATGCAAAAAATTAAGGTTTTTGAATTTTATATGAACTAGGTGTTTGCTCGCAATTTTGTGGGTACTTATATTATATGAAGAGTATGTTTACAATGTTATAATGTTTGAATAAGAATTAGAAATATTAAAAATTTCATTTTAAGTTTAAGCATTTAGATAATAAAAATTTCAATATATAGTTTTAGAAGAGCAGTGAGATTTAATATATATTTCAACAACAGAAATACTAGTCATTAAAAAATATTGCTTACAAAAATTAATTATAATTAATTCGGACAATTGTTTGTATAATTACTTTATATTTTATTTTAGCACGTGAACAACAAAAATATTCTAGCCTTCAAAAACATATTTTTTGTGTAGCTTCAATAAGACCAATAGATCGGAGTCTTTTCTAGTGAAGATTTTTGTAAACATTTTTGACGTGTGCTTAAAAAAATAAAAACTTCTAATAATTCTTTACCTACAAATATAATTCTTTATTAAAGAATATAAAACCATTCAATTTATTTAATTATATATAAATAGTTGATAAAATAAACAAATTGATAAAACGTTATATATTCTTTCTATAATTCTGTAACTAGCTACCATAAATCTTTATTTTTAATATTACTTTTGTTATTTTGTATTGTATTAATAAGTTCTAGAGTTACTTTTTAGTTTTTATGAAAAGAAATATCTAATAAAATTCATCAACCAAGCATATTATAACAATTTTTAAACTTCACCTATGAGCGATACAGAAATAAGAATCACTTAATTGATTTCTAAGTATATTTTGTAGTTATTTTAATAAAAACTGAGTATATATTCACATAGACTAATCTAGTTTTCTAAGAATTTTAAGAATTATTTTTGTGATGCCACGTGACTACCTCAAACATTTTTGTAATATTTCTCAAATAATATATAAAATATTAAATTATATATACATATTTGTATATCTTTTCGATACAATACACATCTAACAAAAATTACTAATTATATTTTATTTTTAGTTATATATATAACATACATAGGAGATTTTTAAAACAATATTTTTCAAAAATTCATTTAAAACATATACCAGTTTTTACACTAAATTTATAAATTTATTGATGGAAAACCTTAGATATGTTTGTTATCTAAAATTATTTTTAATTTTGCTTTAGATTAAATTATTTATAATTTTGTACATTATTATCTATATAATACATAAGTAATAAAAATGAAAAATCACCAACCAATAAATTTAAAATGATTAACTGAAGAACTCTCCTATGAATGACACATTAACAAAATCACTTATTTGACTTCTCAATTAATATATAGGATATGAGGATATATGGGATATAAGAATACTCTATTATCTTCTAAAAGTGATAATTCACCTATAATATCATATTGTCATTGCAAATGATTGAAATTTTGAAAATTATATATTTGACTGGTTTATATTTTTTGATACATTTTTAGAATATATGTTTATGTATACAGTGAGTAGAAATATTATTAGGTTTATACTAATTAGTTTTCTTCAATCAATGATTTAGTGTATCCATTGTAAAATATAATATATTTAAATTTTTTTTTGTAGTATCATATGTATTTATACATATACGTATATTATAAATTTTATAATGTAATCTATGATAATTAATTGTTTTAATACATAAAGTATTTTAATTTTTTTATATTTAAGATGTTTGATTGCTTATTTGGTAACATATATTAAAATATGTAATTATATGATTAGTTTCCTTTAAAACATTTTAATTAAATAAATAAAAATTCAAATACCCACAATCAAATAAATTAAGAGAATTAATGTAAAATTTTACCTATAAGTGATAACTAAGTAAAAATTAATAAAGTAATTTCTAAATTAATATATATATATATATATAGGATGTGTCAAATAGAATAAAAGGTTGGTTAGATTCACTTTGATTTATACGTGTGAAACCTGAATTTGGGAAAACAATGTTTAGGAAATCGGTCTTGAAATAATTAAGTTAACACACTTCTATGCATAAGTTATTACTAGATTTTTCGAGAGAAGGAGAAGTATTGTGGAGGTGACATGAAAAGGGAATAATCTGAAAGGTGAGTGGTCTGAGCACATGCCACACAATGCATGTGTCACCTATAGTCTCCACTCTTCATGGCCCAATCACCCATCACTTCCATTTAAATATTAAAATTGATAGTACAAGAATTTATACTTATTGCAATCAAAATAATCCAAATGTTTGTTTAATCAGTCAAGAACTTAGTCGCTAAACATTAAATAAGTGTGCGAAATTCAAATAAAATAACATAATATTTACTAATAACAGGCACAAACTATATAATGTAACATAGATAAACCAAATGATTGCATTTTTAATACTTCCTGACATCTATTTCTTTGCACGCATACATTTATGGGATGATTACTATCTGAACATATGGTACTAAATTAATTACTAATTTACTACTGCATATGATAGTGGCATGTTGGACTAATTGATAGCTGGAAATAATTATGGAAATGGTTGACAAAAATTATCGGGAACAAAAAAACATTAGTGGAATATGACATTCTCATTCAATGTAGAAA